AAGGGTAATAAAAGTTGAGATGTTGTAGCTTTGAGCATATGAGACCTCACAACTCTCTGGAAGGAGTGTGGTTTTATTTTTGGTTGATGTATGTGTCAGTTATTTAATAAAACTTGCTGATTCTTGTTGTCATATGTTAATTTAAATAGAGTGATGTCTCTGATATGAATGCTTCCCTTGTGTATTGTGGCTTTAACTTTAAGGAGGGTTGATAATTATTAAGGAGATTGATGAATTCTTCTAATTCTGCTTAGCATAAGTCCCAAATACCCCATATGCTAACACATACGGAGAAAGCATTGATACTAAGATGCAGCTGTTTGGTATCACCTCCACTGTCAAATATAATTTTAGTTGGCACTGTGTTCATTACAAAAGCAGCCACCATATTTATTCCCACATTGTATCTCCTGATCTTATGCAGCTTTGAACAAGAGATTCCACATTCATACTCCAAGTTTGCTATCATCTGCAAAGTTTGAAATATGACCCTATATGTTCCAATTTTCATGCTAATTATAAAATTACAAAAAAAAAGCAGCAGTACTAGCGCTGACCTTTTGGAAATGCCACTGTCTACCATCGTCTAGTTTGAAAAACATCCAGCTCCCACAACTTGCTGCTTTCTATCCTGTGGAGATAAGGCTTAATGGGTATTTAGATCAGCCTCTGAGATATGCTATGATAGAACTGTGAGCTCAGTAGACATGTGAGAGAGACTCTGCTAGCAGGTTGGAACTACAGCAGCTCTCCGGGGAGATACCTGCAGCAATATCATCTCGTATTTACAGTTGATGAATACTGTCTGAAGAAGTGCTTTGAGATCTGTCCTGAGCCAATCTGAAGAGCAGATGAACCTATACTAAAAAATATTCTAAATTAAATGTTGTATTGAAGCTGACACTGACACTGTCTATTCCAAGAACAACAAATCTATATGTACCTTATTCCTGCGTTCCCTTCATCAGTTTTCTGTTCATCAAAAAATTCAATTAAATTAGTCCATTACAATTTACCTTTTACAGGTATGTATTGGCTCAAAGTGATAGTGAGAATAGAAAAGCAGATGAGGATGGTTCTGAATTTGAAATGTGCACATTAATTAGAAAAGGCAGGCTAGACCAAGCCAGAGAACAATGAATTAAACGGTATTTATTTCAATGCAAGGGGCTTTACAGCTAAGGCAGATGAACTTAAGGCATGTACGGGATCATGGAACTGGGTCATTATAGCTATTATAGAAACATAGCTGATGGAGGGACAGGATTGGCAGCACAATGTTCCAGGTTTTTAATGCTTTAGAACGGGAGGCAAGAGAGTTGGTGGGGGTGGGGGCAGGGGGTGGGGAGGTGGGGGAGTGGGGAGAGAGTAGCATTTTTGATTAAGGAAAACATTACTGCTGTACTGACAGAGGATATTTCTGAGGGATTGCCCAGTGAAGCTATATGTGTGGAATTCAGAAATAACAAGAAGATTATTGGTGGGATTGTAGTTTAGCCCCTCAAAAGTCAGAAGGAAATTGAGGAATAAATATGTAGAGATAGCTCAGATATATGTAAAAATAATAGGGTCATAATAGTAGGGGATTTTAACTTTCCAAACATAGACTGGGGCAGTCATTGTGTTAAGGGCTTGGATGCTTGGATGGTGATGAACTTGTTAAATGTGTTCAAGAAAATTTCCTTTATCAATAATATAGAGAAAGAGCAAACCTTGACCTTTTCTTGGGAAATAAGGCAAGGCAAGTGACTGAAGTGTTAATGGGGAACCACTTTGGGACCAGTGATCATAATTCTACTACTTTTTAAAATAATTATGGAAAAGTATAGGCCTTGTATAAATGTTAAAGTTCTTAATTGGAGTAAGGCAAATTTGATGGTAAGAGACAGGAACCTTCAAGAGTTGATAGGAGGAGACTCTTCACAGGCAAAGGGATGACTGGTAAGTTGGAGGCTTTTGAAAGTGACAGAACGAGAGTTCAGAAGCATTATGTTCCAGTTAGAGTGAAGAGTAAGGTTGGTAAGAGTAGGGAACAATGGATGAATAAAGATATTGAGGCTCTGGTCAAGAATGAGAAGAAGTCATATATTAGGTATAGATAATTGGGATCAAGTGAATCTCTTGAAGAGTATGAAGAGTATAAAGAGCGTATGCGCGTTCTTAAGAGGGAAATCAGGAGGACAAAAAAGGGATATGAGATAGCCTTGGCAGATAACATCAAGGATAATCCAAACAGATTCAGCAAATACATTAAGAACAACTAGGGAGAGAATAAAACTCCTTAAAGATCAGAGGGTGTGATAGTTAGTAGATTTAGACAGTTTGTTATACCATAATTTCAGTCAAATAGATGGGTGACCATCAGGTGAGGGAGGAAGGGAGTTCAGAGTCTCCTGTGGCTATTCCTGTCTCAAACTGATGTACTGTTCTGAGCACTATTGAAGGAGATAGTGTCTCAGAGGAAAATAGAAGTGGCTGGCAGATCTTGGGCACCAAGAATGAATCTTATGTTAAGCAGAGTTTATCAAGATTCAAGACAGTAATTATTATCAGGGATTTTCCTGTCGGGGGGTACTGACAGGACATTCTGTGGCCATCAGCGTGAACTAAGGATTATCCTGGTGCCAGGATCAAGGACATCTCAAAATGGTTGCAGCATAATGTCAAAGGGGACAGTGAGAAGCTTGTTTACACATTGGTATGAACAGCATAATTAGGGAAAGGGTCGAGGCTTTGCAGTGTGAATGTAGGTAGTTAGGTAGAGATTAAAAAGCAGAACCTCAAAGGTAGTAATCTCTGGATTACTCCCGGTGCCTTGTGCTAGTGAGAGTAGGAATAAGAAGATAGGGCAGATAAACCAATGGCTGAAGAGATGGTGCAGTGGGCAAGGATTCAGATTTTTGGGTAATTGGGATTTCTTCTGGACCAGAAAAGATCTGTTCAAAAAAGACAGGTTTCACCTGAACTGGAAGGGGGCCAATATCCTGGTGAGGAAATTTGCTAGTTCTATTTCAGGATCCTTTAAACTAGTAGGGAGTTGGGTAGGGGGATCATTTGGATGAGAATTTAGAAGGCATGGTTAGTAAGGTTGCAGATAATACTATAATTGGTGATATAGTAGACAGTGAAGAAGGTTATCTAAGATTACAAAGAGGTCTTGATCAATTGGGTCAATCAACTGAGGAGTGGCAGATTGAGTTTAATTTGGATAAATGTGAGGTATTATATTTTGGTAATACAAACAGGGATAGGATTTTTTTGGTAGGGCCCTGGGTAGCATTGTCAAACAGAGAGAGCGAGGGGTTCAGGTACATAGTTCTTTGAAAGTTGCATCACAAGATAGACAGGGTAGTTAAGAAGGCTTTTGGCATGCTTGCCTTCATTGCTTAGACCACTGAGTATAGGAGTTGGGACGTCATGTTGACGTTATACAGGATGTTAGTGAGATCACTTTTGGAGTACTGTGTACACTTCTGGTCGCGCTGCTATAGGAAGGATATTATTAAATTGGAGCGGGTTCAGAAAAGATTTACCAAAATATTGCCAGAAATGGAGGTTTTGAGTTATAAAGAGAAGCTGGATAGGCTGGGACTTTTTTCACTGGAGCATAGTAGGTTGAGGAGTGACCTTATAGTGGTTTATAAAATCATGAGGGGCATAGATAAGGTGATAGCAAAGGCTTTTTCCCTAGGTTGGGTGAGTTAAAAACTAGGAAGCATATTTTTAAGGTGAGAGGAGAAAGATTTAAAAGGAACCCGAGGAGCAACTTTTTCACACTGAGGGAAGTTCGTGTGTGGAATGAACTGTTAGAGAAAGTGATGGATGCAGGTACAGTTAACACATTTAAAAGACATTTGGACAGGTAGACGAATAGAAAAGGTTTAGAGGGATATAGGCCAAACGCAGGCAAGTGGGACTAGTTTAGTTTGGGAAACTTGGTCAGCATGGATGGGTTGGACCAAAGGGTCTGTTTCTGTGCTGCATGACTCTGTGACTCTGATTCTGTGAGTCAGTCACACCTCTCCAAGTGCCTGTTAATTTCTTCCCTGATTATTGTTTCTAAGACCTTACACACCATGCTGAGGCATAGAGAGTTTAAGAGAGGAATAGTGTGTAAGGATTGTTTTCTTTGCAGCATAGTCGGCTGAGGGGGTACTGACTGAGGTGTATAAGGTTATAAGAGGCATGGATAGGGTGGATAGAAAACAGCTTTTCCCTTTAGATGAGTCAATAAGGAGATGACATAATTTTAAGATAATGTTAAGATGAAGGGCAGGAGAATTAGAGGGTAAAATGTTTTCTCCCAGAGCATGATGGGAATCTGGAATGCACTGCCTGGAAGGAAACTTCACAACCTTTAAAGGGTACACAGATGAGCACTTGAAATGTAATATCAAGTGCTAGAAAGTGGGATTCATGTACATAGGTCAACAGAGACTCAAAGAGCCTCCACTGTGCCATATACATGGATGTTGAAACTACTGGTAAAAAGGCACTAGTATCCTTTACACACTTTCTTGATTAAGAGTGTCACATTTGCTACTCTCCAAGCCTTTGCCACCTTTGCCATATCCATGGAAGATTGGAAGATAATGTTGAGCCTTTTCTTGTCGCCACCCTCATTTCCCTTATCAAGCCATCCTGACCAGGTGACTCATCTGCCCTAAGGCATTGTTCACCCATCCATTAGTTACCATCTTAAGTCCTGGGTTGATTGGTTTTTGTTAACTAGAGGTATTCAGAGATATGGGAAAACAATGAGTATATGCAGATAGGTTACAGATCTCATCAAATGACAGAACAAGATCAAAGGGCGAAATGGCCTCCTCCAAACCTCTATTCCTATGTGGCCTAATTAAAGATAATTTGCAATAGTGTTCTCTGCAAAATCAATTATATGCTTCAGACTTTTAATCTAGGTTTTAGAGTTTAATCTAGATTTTATTAAAGTGCTATCTCTATTTTCTTTTACCTCCCCTGAACCCACCCTTCTCTTGCAGATTGCAACCTCTTGCTCGATGGAATCAAGTCATTAAAAATTGTTAAAAAAATAGGTGAGTCCCAAGGTTCTTGGATAAAGGACCCCGTCCGAGATTTTCAGAAGGTTTATTTCTTGAGTGGAACCAATGGCAATGTCCTCACTGAGTTTGGAGGCATCAAGGCTTTCACAGAAAGCGCAAGCAGGAAAATGGCTAAGAGAGTCACCCTCCCTTTTGCCTGGCAGGGGACGGGTCACATAGTGTACAACGGCTACCTGTACTTCCACCGCAACGGCACCCTCAACCAGATTGTCAAGTTCGACATTCGTAATGGGACAGTTAAAGACCGCATGCTTCTGCAGGGGGCAGGCCGAGTGCCCGCCTACCAACTCTCACCATACACCTTCATTGACATGGCTGTGGATGAGCAGGGCCTCTGGACCATCCATGCTGAACCGGATGATAGTGGCGGCACCATCATCATCACCAAGATTGACCACGGCAGCTTGGCAGTGGAGCACTCCTGGGACACCTCCTGCTCCAGCAAGGGAGCTGAGGCGGCCTTTATGATCTGCGGCACCCTTTACGTTGTCTACAACACCCATCATGGCGGTCGCTCTCGTGTCCAGTGCCTCTATGACGTCACTGATGTGGTCACCAGTGCTGATTTGCCAGTCCTGTACTTCCCCAAGCGCTATGGCAAACATTCCATGATCCATTACAACCCCCGGGAACATCAACTCTACGCCTGGGATGATGGCTATCAGACAATCTACAAACTCATCACAAAAAATAAACTGGAAAGTCGGCCCTCTTTCTAATAATTTTCATCTTTTTATCCTAAAATGCCGACTAATGGTTATCATACCTGCAACTTGATCAGTATAATCCACCCAACCCCCAAACAGAATGACTGGCTTTTAGTTTTAATTCACTCAAAGCTTCTCTACCACTGACACAGCACAAGTCATTAGGGTGATGGAATTCTCTCCATTTGGCAATGGGTGCAGCTCCAATAGCACTCCAGAAACTTAATGGCTTCAAGGACATAGTACTTATCTGAAATCCCAATAAATTCCATAAACATTCAATTGTTCCACAACCAGCACACAATGTCAGGAGTGTGTACCCGTTACAAGATACAGCAACCTGCCAAAATTGTTTTGGCAATACCTTTCAAACCTACATCTTCTACCACCTATAAATACAAGAGCTGCAGATATTTGGGAACACCGCCCACCAGCAAGTTCCTCTCCGTCAGATGTCATTGGGACTTGGAAATATATCACTGTACCTTCAATATTCTTTCCTTACAGCGCTGTCAGGGTACCTACACCATAGGAACTCCACTGGTTCAAGAGAGCAGCTCACCTTCAAGGGTAATTTTGGAACATGGCTGGTAATGTTCACTTCATAAGTACATTACTAAGATATTCTTATGAAACAAAATAGGACAGGTAAAACAAAACTGGAAATGCTAATAATACACAGCAGAATACACTGATCATATCTGTATGGAGACAATGGTGGGTATTGCAAAATGTGATCAGGAAACTACTCAAATGTAGACAAGACTGTCCTTGCTGTTCATAGACATCAACAGATCTTCTGTGCATCACCTACATTTCTGCAAGAGGCTAATCTAATCACCTACTATAATTTGTAACTGCTCTGTCTTCCAGAAAGGATCATCCATGAGAAGACAAAAGGAGGAACATCTTGGCCTCACAATTCATTAAATTTAAATTGTTTTGTCCCTTGGTTGTGCATTTTCAACTCCAGAATCAACAGCCAGATAGTTGCTGCCTGTTGCAGAGAGGCAGCAAGTTTAGGTATTTATATTGAAAGACTGTAAAATGATGATGAGGAATAGGCAGTATTTAAGGTCATGTCAACATGATAGTGAGAGGGAACTATAAGAACAGATTCTTGTTTATGTCTGTTGCTCTTCCCTCTTCCAACTCCATCACATCCTCCCGAAATCTTTCAGTTCCCTTAAGAGACATTGCAGACCTTCCAGTTCCTGACCCTGACAAAGGTACATTACACCAAAAAATTGGCTCATCTTTTCCTGTACAAGCTGCTTTTCATTTTGTTTTATGATGATTGATTTTTCTTTGGATCTACTTTTTCCCCACTTTAAAATCTTGTGAAATTGCTTCTCATAAAGATGATGAAGTCTCCACCATGTCTAATAAGAGGTAAGCTTTATACTAGACGATTAATGATAAGCCTTTTCCATCGCAAATGAATTAAATTACAAAGGCATCGCTTTTAATATGTTCAGTGCACAGGTTTTTTTTCAGGCAATGTTATAAGCTTTTAGCATTTAATTAAAATGCAATTAATTTCACTGCTTGATCATCTCCACTCACCTTTTTAAAAATTCGTCTGATTTCAGGAAAATTGAAATGTCTATAAATCAGGGCTTCTCAACCATTTTGCTTTGATAGCCTCTCCCCATATTATAAAAATTCCTGTCCCCTGTTGTAACATAAGTTTTTTTTTCTGTATAAAATTCAGTTGTACAATTAAATGTATACATTTGTCATTAAATTTGCTTTATTTGCATCTTCTCTGCTATGTTGCAGCTTTTCCCCTTTTTGTGATGACATTCTCTTTTTCTCTCTGCACTCTGAAGATATTGTGTAGAATAATCTTTCCAATTTGCAAGTTCTTTGTGGCTTAAGCAAGCATTTTTTAATGCATATACTGTGTAAACCTGCTGCTAGATAGAATTTCAGTTCCCAAATGGTACAACAGACAATAACATGATTGTAACTTTCCCACTCTTGTAAATCCAGTCCTGAAATTACACAGTCAAAATGTACATCAACAATATTTGCATTAATGACTTAGTCAAAAACATCTTATTTGCAGATTCATTGTAAAAAGCCTTGACCAGAGTTTTCCACACAAGCAGCACATGCACACTCTGACTCCAAAAACGTATAAACAAACCCATCCAAATATTGGACTTTGGACAATAAAATAGTAATGTAACTGGAATAGTAATCCAGAGGTCTAGACAAACGCTCTGGTCACATGGGTACAAACCCAGTCCTCCTAGCAGCTGGTGGAAAGGAAATCATTCTGTTTTCTGATCAATGCACCTCTTGATCCACAGCAATGTGGTTGCCTCTGAAATGGCCAAGCAAACTTCTTAAGGGCAATAGGGATGGTCAACAAATGCTGGATTTGCCACATCCCAGGGAGAAAGTTTGAAAACTGCCAGCCATGTAGCTCTGTCTCTGAGTCAGAATTTTCTGGATTCCAGCCTACTTCAGGGCTTGATCCAAGCTGACACTTCAGTGCAGTACTGCAGGTATGCTGTACTGTTGGAGATACTGTCTCTTGAAGAGCCACTAAATCAAAGCCCTGTCTGGCTTCTGAAGAGGAGATGAATTATCCCATGACATGTTCAATCGTCATCACAAAAACAGATTATCTTGTCATTATCTCACTCTTATGGGTTTACAGAGTGAAAAAGAGCAGCACGGTGGCTCAGTGGTTGGCGCTTCTGCCTCACAGCGCCAGGGACCTGGTTTCGATTCCATCTTTGGGCAACCATCTGTGTGGAGTTTGCACATTCTCCCTGCGTTTGCGTGAGTTTCCTCCGGGTGCTCCGGTTTCCTTCCACAGTCCAAAGACATGCAGGTTAATTAGATTAGCCATGCCAAATTGCTCCATAGTGTTAGGGATCTGCAGGCTAGGTGGATTACCCATGGTAAATATAGGGTTACAGGGATGGGGTGGATCTGGGTGAGATGCTCTCAGGAGGTTGGTGCAGACTCAATGGACTCAATAGCCCAATGATTCTATGATGTTCCCCAAGTTTCTCCAGAGACTACACTCCATTGGTTTTGAAACATTTTGACACATCTGGTGGTCATGAAAGTACTACATAAATGCAAGTTTCTTTACTTCACAACTGTAATATCCACAATAGGTCCAACTCTAGCCAGCTGCCATTTTACAAAAGCATTTTTTTTAAATTACAAAGATAAAATTTGCTTAGTGCTCCAATGCATTTCCTCACTCTGGATTTTCCCATCATATGTTGGGGCAATCCACCAACCACACCCACTGCTTCATTTACAGATCAGCTTGATTTCTCTTTCCCTCCATCTCTCTGTTGTCAAACACCAACCGAAGACTGTCTACACACACACACACACACACACACACACAAACTCTCTGATTGACTCTCATTGGAAAGCATCCTTTTATTGGCAAGAAGTCTCAGCTAAAATTTCTCTTCACTCCAGTTTTGATTGGCTGATCATCACATCAGTCATTTTTCTTTGCAGACAACCTCTTGAAACCTTTACTTGAAGCCCGAAGCGGGTGATGGCGAACCCTTGCTTAAGTGAATTTCAGTTTGTACTGTCAAGTATTCAGCTAAGGCACTGGGTTTCTCAGCGCTACAGCATTGCTAAGCCAATTGGAGAACGTGCTAAAGACTGTATTGCTTGAGTTGTTAGATGCCATTGTCTTCCCCAGCTTTTCCGCCAAGATTTGCACCTTTTCCTCCTCAGGATGCTAACTATTCCTACGTGAGTCTTTAAGATAAATTGGCTCCTGATATGTGGGGAGGGTTGAAATGGGACTCTAATTCAGAGTGCCATATTTGCAGTACAGTATTGCACACGTGCAATTTACCCTGCCCAATATTTCAATATTTGGCATTATGTTTCACTGGTGTAAAGTTGCCTGGTTAGTGCCTCTGCTCAATTTCAATCTCACCTCACACTGCTTTATTTGATGCTTTGTAATTTTCTTGCCCATTGCTCTAGTGAGAAAATTGAGTGAATGCAAATACTCTTGATGTAAATGGTAGAAACTGTACAACATACTGAGCCACAAAGCACACCACCCCCACAAAATGTACAGAATCTTGTTCAGCAAAATGTTTTTTCTGCCTGAAAATGAGCCAAGTCCAGTTTAGACCCTTCAACCTTCCAAAACCAGCCTCCTACACATAAACTCACCCCAAATCTTCTGTACTGTCATCAGTGGTGTACCCCTGTATCACATTGGCCCCACTCCTCCATAACTCTTTCTGACTTTTATCACATGGCTACAGCTCCAAATTCTCAGATTACTGTCCAACATCAATTTCTCCCTTCTAAAACACCATATGACCTTTAACTATTTAAAAGATGTTATAATTTGTCCTCTAATTCTCCACCTCTGGCCCCAGGTCACTGTATTCCTCCCACTGGACTGTTTTACACTGTCGCACTGGAGTTTGGGAAAAAATGACAAATAAACCCTACAAGAATCAGGTGTCAACACTACAGTGCATTTTATTAATTTGCACTTAGGATTTTGTCACACTGACACACCAATATTTATTACCTATCTGCATTAACAGCCAACCTTGTAACATGAGATGAGAGTGGCATATAGGTCTGACTTAGTAGGAGTAGCAGATTCTCTTCCCCGAAAGATATCTGTGAAACATTTGTGATTTTACAATAACCTCGAACCAATTTTGCTCTTGGCTTGCTGTCACATCACAAGTTATAAATTTATTGAATCCTATTTAATAATTCTCCACTTCGACGAGTGTTAACCTCCTGAAAACTGAACATGAGAAGCAGAATGGATCATGAGCCTAGACTGTTAGATCTAACAGTAGAGTCCCCAGTTAACACAATATGTGATAATATTTTCTTCCCTGTGAAAAGAGTTTCATTCTTGTTTTGCATGGCCAGCCAAAATCATAAACTCATGCTTGGGAAAAAATCAGACATTTGGAAGGACCAGACCAACAGATGGTAAAACCAACTATATAATTCAAAAGTCTTGTATCTCTGCATGCTTCCACATTTTCAATCAAAATTCCTATGTAGTTCTGTCACATTGTAATTATATCCTCCAAGTAATGATGGCACGGTAGCACGTTAATTGTACATCTTCTAGTTCACCAGCCTACATTGTGAGCAATATCATAACCTGTGACTGACTGTATTTTTCAGATTTCTGTAAGTTATGCTAAGTATAAATAAATAACAGAATGCCAAAATACGTTCTTTTTCATTTTGTTCTCAGTTATTTATTATCATCCAATAGCGATCCAAGCAATTGCTTGTTAAAATGAATGTCTTGCCAAGCTAAATCAGAGGGCATTGATTAAAACTCAAGGGCATCGTTCTGTTTTAATAGTCTTTAATGGGGTGTGGACATCTCTGGCTAGGCCAGCATTTACTGGCCATACCTACTTGCTCAAAGGACAGCTAAGAGCCAACCACATCGCTGGGTGTCGTGTCTGAGTCAAATGTAGGCCAGACCAGGTAAGGATGACAGATTTCATTCTGCAAAGGACATTAGTGAACTAGATGGGTTTTTTTGTGAGAATTGGCAGTGATGATATGGTTGCCGTTAGGCTAACTTTTTATTCCAGATCTTTTGTAGAATTCAAGTTTCACATTCTGCAGTGGCGTGATTCTGTCTCCAGAACATTAAACTAGGATTACTGGATTAATAGTTCAGTGACATTAACATCACACTGCTGCCTTCTCATTGTAGTCCTCTTCAAGAGACTATATTCCAGTGTTCGCTAGAAGTGTGGAACTCCTTCCTGCAGAAAGCTATACATGTCACCTTAACTAATAACTTTAAATCAATAATCAATAGATTTTTGCTTGCTACATGGAGCCAAGGGCGTTAAAATATTGTTAGATTTACAGGTGATCCATGATCGCACTCAATGGAGAAACAGGTTTGCTGGACTAAATGGCCTACTCCTGTCAGATGGACATTTTAGTGCAACAGCAGTACATAGTTTGTCATAGATGAGACAAACGTGGGAAAAAGTGTTTCCTCTGCCTGGGAAGCTTGTGATGAGTTCTGAACAATTTAAAATTGCACTAAGGAATATGGAAGGAGATTGGCAGAAATGTCTTTGCACAGTGTGTAATTGGAACATGGAATACTTTGACAAAGGGAGTTGTGAAGGCAGTAACTGCTGCATCCTTGAAAGGAAAATTGGATAATTTAAAAAGCAGACAGCTGTGGGCAAGTGGCTGTTCAATGGAATTAGATTTGGATTTCTCCAGTAACTAGCGAGTCCACATTAAATGGGTCTAAATGTTTAAAGTTTTGATGAAGGGTCACTTGACCTGAATCATTGACTCTGCTTTCTTTCCACAGATTCTGCTAGACCCCCTGAGTTTCTCTAGCAATTTCTGTTCTTGATTTAAATATCTACTTGGGGTTCTGTAAATCCCCATTGTTCTAAGAAGAGAGTCAAAGCAAATTCCTTGCAGCAATCCATGTAGAGTACGTACATGCATGGTCCTGTTATGGAGGGAGTTCCAGGATTTTGATGTATATTGCTATCCAGTTGGTGCAACCATTCCCTGAGGACATCTCCACATTGAGGTTTCTTCATCATTTACCTTCCCACAATCTTAAGATCAGAAATGGGATGTTCACTAATGATTGCAGTGTTCAGCAACATCCACAACTTCTCTGAAGGGACTGTTGGTACACTATCCACTATCTGAAACATTCAATCCCTTCAGAGATATTGAAGTAGTCTGTGTCTAAATCTTCCATGACCCTTGGTTAACATTGAGGCTTAGGCTGTTAAGTGGCTAGTAAAATTCACACTACGCAAGTGTCAGGCAGTGATCATCTCCAACAAAAGAGACTCCGACACCCCTGCACTCTCGGTCCCCACTACCTTTCATCGCTGTATCCTGCATATCAACATCCTGGTGTTATTATTCAATGAAAATACTTCACTGGACCAGCAATATAAATATGATATCTAGAATAGCAAGTCAGAGGCTGGGAATTCTGAGGACAGTAACTCACTTCCTGAGTCTCCAAAGCCTATCTATCAACGTTCAGGCACAAGTCAAATGTATGATGGAATTCACTCCACTTGCTTGAGAGGGTACGTTTCCAACAACACTCCAGAAGCTGAATACCCTCCATGACAAAACAATCTGTTTCCGTGACGCACCATGATCCAATGTAAACATTCACATCTCACACACCACCACACAGTGGCAGCAGCGTGCATTATGTAAGAGGTACACTGTAGCAAATCACTGAGGCTCCATTGACAACACTTTCCAAGCCTATCATCTCCACCACATGAAAGGACAAAACAGAAAATGCATGAGTACACCACCATCTGCAAATTCCCCTTCAAGTTGTATACCATCCTGACTTGGAAAGTTATCCCCATCCCTTCTCTATTGCTGAGTTGAAATCCTAGAACAAGCTACAAGGAGAGATTGGAGAGACTGGGGTGGTTTTCCTTGGAACAGAGAAAGCTGAGGGGTGACATGATTGAGGTATACAAAACTGTGAGGGGTAAAGATAGACAGGAGGAACTTGTTTCCATTGGCAGAGAGTTCAAAAACCAAGGGTTATAGATTCAAATTAAGTGACATAAGGATTAGAGGAGATGTGGGGAAAAATCATTAAAGGCAGTAGGTGGTGGGTGCCTGGAATTCACTGTGTGAGTTGATGGTGGAGGCAGAGGCCCTAAACTCTTTTGAAAATTACCCTGGATCTGCACCTTAAGTGCTGCAAACTGCGGGCTTGGGGTGGCGTGCA